GCACACGGGGATGGGCGGTTGGTTCCGAGGCAGAGGGCAGATTATTGGCCCTCACCTGTATCACTTGTATCAATTGTATCACTATCCACCACAGAGGCTTGCAGGGCCTCTTTGTCAAACCCCCCAAAGTTCATATAAGTCCATATCCTCACTATAATTATCACTATCACTGACTTGGGCCGGCTGTAGTGGGTGGCGGGTGAAGAACTGGTCATGTTTTGATGACTGGGCGACCTTGTGCGCACCATTTTCGCGCCTCTTACACAACATGGCAGATGGCGGGAGGTTTGGATCCAAAAATGGCGCGGCTTGCCAGCCGCTCTCCGTGTAATGGGGTTCACGACCGCGGAATGTGAAAATGTTAGGTTCTGGCAAGGCACCGCGTTAACGGTGAAACGCGGAATGCGGGACCGCGTAATATGAGGACCAACTGTACATGGTTAAGGAATGGAGGACAGAAAAATTAATCAAATAATGCTCAAAAGGTTTATTTACTAAACACAAGCAAGAAAGATACAACATTCTGGTATACCATGAACAAATAAAGAAAACTGTACAAAAACAAAGAAAATTACACGAATACAGTACATCGCAGCCTCAAATTTACTGAGCGTCCCACAGATTTGTTGTATGAAAATTTTACCAAATAATGCTCAACAGGTTTATTTCCTTGCTATACACAAGCAAGAAATGTACAGCATTCTGGTATACAATGTGAAAAAAAAAAGTACAGAAATGAAGAAAATTACAGGTACACAAAATTAAAGAATACATCACAGCCTGCTGCCTCTGACTGACCAAGCGTTCCACAGATTCAGCGTCACTGACTACGCAGTATCCTGCCCACGTCAACACACCTACAAAACAAAACAAACATTAAAGGTTTTGTGAATTTGCTTACCATCTCTCAAGCAACCAAGCTTGAATTCCTCCAAAGCTTCAGCCTAAATCATTGGACCACTCAGGGCAATAAGGGCATACTGCCAGAGGTACTTCTTATATCTTTGCCTTAGTCCGGTACAGGAAGTAATGAGATCAATCGGCCACAATATGATGTCTGTGCATTATGTGTGTGAGTGTGAATAAATGTGTGTTCATGGGAGTGTATGTTTGTGTAAGAATGTGACACTTGAGTCTATACAAAACTACTTAATAGCTTTAAACTTAAGTGTATGTACATGATTTAACCCTTTAATTCCAGGGGGACATATCCAGTGATGTAGTTGAGCTGAGACCACTAAATCCAAGACCAAGACCTAACTCTGGAACTAAAACTTAAGAAGTAGACCAAGAACGAAACCATTTGCAATTTTTGCATATATGGGATCACCGAAAGATTTGCACCTGCAAGCAGTTATAACAAGGTTGGTGGTCTACTTACTTTACTCTGTCTGGCAGTACTGTAGTCACTTAAAGGGCTCATGTGATTTTATAGATATATATTCTGGTCTCCATCCATCTGCTACTGGGGGCCCTTTGTTTTAGATTAATGTAATAGTTACTGTAGGAAGGGTATTGGAAAGAGATATCTGTCCTTTAAGTTTATTCAGCAAAGATGTGTAATGAAGTCACCTGCGTTCGTCCTCCTTCTAACTAGATACCGTGGGGTAAAAGGGAGCTCACTATACACCCGCAAAATTTCAGGAAAACATTAGGTACTCATTACCGAGCCTCTATTATCGACGGTCGCCAGGCCACCCATGAACCTCACACTCACACTTCCACAGCCAAACTGTCTTGTCTTTTTCTAACACTGCCTATCCTGTTGTTGAACAGGCCTTTTCAGTCTCCAATCAGAGTAGGTTTTTTTCCAAGGGTCCTTAAGTTCTGTTATACAGATTGGTTGGCACACTGTATGAGTGGGTATATCTACCCCATATTTTGGGGTGTTATTCTTTGAGACTGTAACTAATTTCGTCCCTCTGGTCCTGACAAGCGCCATAAACATTGTAACGGTCGTTCACATGGGTGTGTTGCCACCGGTGTGGGTGTCCTGTTTATTACATAACCCCCCACGGCCGATATTTGAAAAATGTGATGTTTTGTAAACATAATTCGCAATTATCAATCCTAAACCTAGCTAACGTATCAGAAAAACACTCAAGGGTACATAATGATCTATTCTTCCCAATTGAACTAAATGAATTACAACTATAACCCTATAGAAAATAACACTTAAAATTACAATTGTAGCCCTAACACAATCAGACATCATATACTGGGAGATGTATTTTGTTAACATCAAGTGCCGGTCATCTGTAAATAAAGGTACACCTCCATTTAATCTCTCTCATTGCTTGGGTTATTATACTGTACATCAACAATATGAAAATTCCCAAATTATAATTTGGGAATATGTACTGATAATTATCAGTACTGACCTCTAGGTACACTTCAAAATAAACCCTAAAACATATCTCCCAAAGTAAATCACATAAAGTTTTATATTGTATAGTTCGTGGGAAGAATCAACTACAATTGCCCTTCCACTGAAAACTAAACAAAATGACAGACAACGAAAACTAGTGGAATGAGTCACCAGAGAGGCGGTCTTCGCGTTAAAGTATCTCCAGTTATCAAATAACTTCCAGATCCTGTTAACATCATAATTCATACAGCAAATTCACATTATTAATTGTCAGTAAACTTTTACATTACCTTAGTAGTGAGGATCTATTACAATATTGGGATCCAATAGAAGGGTAATTACACAGAAATACATACTTGTATAAGAAAACTTAAGTGTATACAGTATAGTATGTATACATATATATATATATATATATATATATATATATATATATATATATATATATATATATATATATATATATATATATATATATATATATATATATATATATATATATATATATATACATACTAGTTTTCTTATACAAGTATGTAAAAAGTATCACTAACCTTGCATAGGAAGTGGATATTTTCAAGTTCCAGGTGTTACTTAAGAAATGGGTCCATGAAATATGTTTGTGGGGTGGTGAACACATTGGTAAAACAACCCGTCAGGTAAACATTTCCAAGAAAAATTATTTTGATTACTAATTTGCTTTAGGAAGTGTACATGAGGCATGTTCAAGCAAATACAGTACAATCAAACTTAACAGCCCTGCAATTTTCATGGAAATAGAGGAATCTTTCTTTTTCTTATAAACTGAAGAATCAATAGGGACGAGCACCACACACTCCTGTACGAGTCTCTTCAGTATCAACATGAGCACTAAACCAACAACTTATTACATGGAAATAGTTCAGGCAAGAGATACTGCCAGTCTTCTTCCTATTATATAAGCAGTGGTTTGGCCGGGCTCCATCATTCACAGAGATGATAGGAAATGTATTCTTTTGTACTTTTATAATCATACTACATGTACTTTAATAACCAATTTGTACATTCTTTTAAGTTGGGGTGGTTAAACTTTACTTGGGATAACCTGGGGTAACTCTTCAGTTGAGCACTTTGGGGAAGTTACTCTATGCTTCATCATAATCCAAGGTTTTACTCTTCTTTTTCTAAATTAAGGTCTCGGGTTATACATAGATGGTGGAGGGTCAGTGTTATCTTAAAACATGGAAATATTTACCTAGTAGTATGGGTGGGTGTGTACCAAATACTGTACCTTTTTTTTCATGATATAAATGAGTAATTAATATACATACTTTGCTTCTTATTTTTTATTGGGTTCACATTCATTACATCACTCATTGATCATATCCAGGTACTTTTCTATTTATTTAAAACATGAGAAGTGTTCATCACACATAAGAAACCTCAACATACTCAGTACATTTGCTGATGTTTGCCATCTATGTTACCTAATTATTATACCCCTAAATACATGCTCAACAAGAGCACTAGAGGCAGGCACATTTAGAATGGTTAGTGCCAAATCGACCTGGGTCACCCTGCCTAAGAAACTTGAGTGTGACCCCAAAAAATCCCTAATTATGGTCAACTTGTCACAGACCCAGGCAATGGATTAATGGTCTATGTAGTGCCCTGAGGTGAGGTGTCTACACCTACCAGAACCCAAACTTGACCAGTTGACAACAACCTCCAACACACTTGAATATTAATAAATAAATTTGCGATCTCAAAATGTCTCAAGCAAAAATCTGAGACCAAGACCTGAAAAAAAAGGGTCTCAAGACCTACATCACTGGACGTATCACATATATTCTATTTGTGTATACAGGGACACCACAGTTCATGAACAGTCAGTTATGATACTTTGTGTATTACAAACAAACCTCCCAGAACCTAACCAGTGTTACAGAGACCCTCGATATACTGTATTGCAAGAAAGGGACAAAGAATTACAGCAAAACACTATATAACAACTTATGGCTTACCAAGAATCCAAACAACTGCTTCCCGGACTGCAGTTGTTCAGAATCAAGATAGAGATTGTGCAAAAGAACTTGGGGGTGTTGTGACTTGAGTGATCCGCATAGATGTTGCTAGCCAGTGCAAGCAAACCATGTACCCATCCTACCATCTAGTGAGAGCAGGGCAACTTTCGGTTTTCACAAGCTGATCAATTGTACTCCTTTGACATTAAGTCTTAAAAACACATTTAATGGTCTTGCATTTAAAACACATTTAATGGTTCACAGCTTTAAGTTAAAGAAGCCACAAGTATAGAAAATGGTCGGGGCTCACGTCTTTGGAGTAAGAGTTGTGAATTCTTAGAATAACCTGCCAGAGAATGTTGTGACCTCAACAAGTGTGAACTCATTAGGAACAGATTTGACCAACACTGACACACATTCAGATACATTCTAGAGTTCATACACATACAGTACTTGCCAACAATTGGGTAACAGAGAAATGACCGACCACCCAACAAACTAATCAATGGCAAACAATGTTAATGAAGATATGAAAATTAATGCGTGAAGGTATTTTGAAAAGAGGGAACAAGCTGAGATATCACTAAAGCCCCAAGCCTAATATATTTTCTGACATATTTATTTTTGTGTGTGTGTGTGTGGGGTGGGAGGAGATTACAGTTTGGGGGTAATTTCTGAGAAGTAATTGTGTGTATATATGAATACAACTCTTACTACAAGCATCCCTTTGTACCTAAAAGGTTTCAGTTTAGTGGGCGTGATTTGAAATCTTTCTTACCTAATTTAAAAAAAAAAAAAGGCTACAGTATTCATATTAGGAAAAACCTTCAATATACTCAATTTACAGAGAGCCCTGACTATATCGAGTTAGCAAGGGTTCAGCTTTGTCCCCGAATCATTAGTGATTTCAGGGGCATTGATGACTTGATGAACGTGACAAAGAGTGGTGGACATGGGGAGGTAACTGAGCCTATAAGACAAGCTGCTTTTTTTTCCATTCTGAAAGGTGGTGAAAGATGCCCCACCAACAAAGCAATTATCTATGAGGATAATGGTTAATGCCTCAAGAAAAATTAAGGATGGACACAGATTTTGAAGACCAGGCTCCCAACTGCTCAAGAGTTTCCAAGGTGTACAGGGGTGTCTGAACAAAACTTGCCTGTTACAAGGAGATCTGTGCAGACTACCCTGGATAGATTTATTTTTTCAGCACTTAAACACCCCCCCCACCCCCCCGTACCATCAACTTTTGCAGCCTAAAAGGAGTCACTGCCTTCACCTCCAGCACCTGAAAGTTTCTTGTGTAAGCTACCACCATCACCAGTGTACAGAGGTCCAAGAAACCTCAGTCTGACAAGTCACCTCCAACCTCACCCTTTTAAAATGTAAGCAGCATTCAACCGCTCCAACAAACACTAATAACAGGATCCAAGGTAAGGTAATTTTGAAAGTTACAGTTGTTTGCATATCTGTATTGCAAGTGTAATCTTAGCAAAACTAGGGTTTTGTGAAGCAGTTAAGAATCTAACTCCAGTAATGACATTGTTCCTATGGAGAATAATTAGCTTTAGAGATCTAAACAACTGCCATAAGGTGGTCTTTCGGTCCCTAATCAGTTCATGAACCGAGGTGTTCCTGTATTATTTTTCCCCCCAGCTGGCTGAGAAATATGATACACACCCCCCACCCCGTCTTAAAAAGTTAAGGTTGTAAATAATTAACATGATATATCCGCTGCCAAGCAACCAATCAGTGCCCGGGTTGCACCACACACATCATCTCATGCTCTGCTGCTTTGGCAGCGAATCACATCTGCAAATATACATACAATTCATAACACTATTTAGGCCTGTTTGTTTGTAAATATTACATTACATCCACCCTGTATTTAACTATTTATAGTATCACAAAAAAGTATGATGTTTAAACATAACACAAGGATCGGTAAGAGATTTTCTTCAAATTAAACATTTATCTTCATTTCTAATGACCATTCCTGCCCCCCATATAGTCCAGAAACGTTGGAGTTTATTGTAATACAGTAACGGTTGTAGAGTATTGTAGGGAATTAGAAATGAATGGGTTGCAATTAAGGAGTTAATGACTAAGATATATCACCACCCCTCAACATAAAACGGCTACACAAGTTTTTGGCACGGAAATCACGCTGACGCGGTAAGACCTGCGTAAAAAAAAACCCACTGTATTCATTTGTTGTGTTGAAGTAAATTGCATATGTCATGTCACATTATGGCAATGCTTGACAATACAAACTTTACTTTAAAATACATTAGAAAAAAGTGAGTCCATTAAATGAAATGTTGAAAATGAATGATTACCTATTGAGTAGGCTATATCTGTGCATCTCAGCTAACAAACAGGAGGTAATCCTTAAGTTTTTGAGGAAGAGGCAGAGCATTCACCCCATGCTGAGCAATATGCTTGAGGATGATGTCTCGACATGTAGCCTTCAGACTTGTCACTGAAAAGTTATTCAAAATCAGTAACACCCAAATAATTCAACATATCTATAGCAATTATAAGATCATGATAAAAGCAAGTAATAAATTAAAATGCAACTACAGGCAGTCCCTGAGTTACAAGCGGCCAACATACGAACGATATCCCTATATATTCATCACAATAATCTTTACTTAAAATCCAATTTTTTACATTGTCATTATTCTATATTTTTAAACTTCTTTATATATAATACATATTTACTTAATTTTTTATGTATGGGGTATTAAAGTTGTTTTGTATGGGCAGGGTTGTGCCTTAACCTAACTATTGAATTAACACTGTTCCGACTTACGAACAGGGTCCAGGAACGTAACCCGTTTGTAACTCGGGGACAACCTGTAATACTATAAACAATATAGATGTAAGCGTACATGTACCTCCGTAAACTTGGACTATTCTGACTTGCTTGGTGGTGCCGTATACGTCAACTACAGCATACAACGGCGCCTCTCTGTACGGCAACTTTTTGGTAAATGCTCCCTGATCTTCACCATTTATTATATAGTGCATTTCTGCTACGTTTCCCTGGAACAAAGATAAAAAAACATGACTTATCTTCATTTAGCACCCAGTGTTAAATTATTTGCCCTACAAACAATAATTCAATGTTGACAATGGACACATGAGAATCTTACTGTACATACTGTAATAATGAGGTTTGGGTTCTGATCCATTGAACCTTGACACTCATAAACATCATGGATTGTACTGTACTAATGTAAATATGCTGATAACCACAAAGGAAAAGAGAAAACATGAAGTTTTCTAGCACTTTCATGTATTTCACATCTTCAGGTGTGATTATAGATTGAATCCCACCCCAAAATGTAAAATACACAAAAGTCCTGGGAACTTCATGATAAATTAGCATTACTGTATATAACTTGACCATCCCAACATTGGTTATGATTAACAAACATAAAATTTAGAGAGAAATGTGTTTCAATCAGCTCTTTCACTGCCAGCTGCTTACCTTCTGTCAGTCTGAATGGCTCTGACCCACCATTCTTAAGGTACTGACTGGTTAAAATAAAAGGAAAAAGAAAATAGTTACTGAACTATTAATATTACCAAGTAAATCATGGGGAAAGAAATCTGGACAACAAAATACTGATATCAATGATTATTAAAACCAAGATAATCATATGAGGCTGCATACAAAATCTGGTTTTCATCCATGACACCTTTCTCAAATTACTGACCAGAAATAAATCCTGTACAAATGTTTGAACATGGCTAAAATGATGTAATCTAGACTGTAGGTCCTTGTACTAAATATTAATGAAATAAAACTGATATCTGAATATTGTCTTTTTTATCCCAGAAATGATTGAAGATCTACCAAAAGAAATTATAATTCCTGTATATATTTGGAGGAATGGAACTCCCTTATTCCATTCATTCTCATGGAGTAGAATTACTACGAATTTCAATACTTGTCCCCTATTTTTCAGGATGTAACCCCAACAAAGGACAGGAACCAACTGTGCTTATTATCCTGGAGCATAAACATGTTAAAGCAGAAAGTCGCCAATTTATGTTGGGATGTGTTTCCCATAGACTGAAGTATTATAATTGGGGGTTGTATTCCTGGAGCAATTTTTCAGACATCTTAACCTGACTAAAATTCATATCAGACAAAAATATTAAACAAATCCATATAAAACACAAAAAAAATGTATGGCTAGACAACTCAATGTACAGATTCATCAGTACTTACCAAAATAAAACCGAGATTGTGTACACGTTGTTGATGGGCGCATTTGCAGAACATTTTCCACTCATAGTTGAGGGTTTTTTGAAAGATAATCCCTGATTGGCCATGTGACACTGTTTCTGGTATGTGGTTTTGAATTATTATTTTAGCACTCATTGCAGCAAAGACAACATTGTATTGGAAAGGCACAACTTAAAGAATATTTATTTTCCACTAATTTTTTGACGACGTTGTATCAAGATGATGAAACCAACGAATAATCATATACCCTGTACAGTACTGTACATTTGGTTCTCCAGTTATGAATCATCCTGCTGCAGTGTCATATATTTCTCATTTATACTGTACATTATTTTCCCACAATTTACATATTGATACAGTACTAATTAATTTATATAGGTACTGTACTGTACAAGAACTATATTCTTTGCCAATCTCCAATTATAAATCTTAAATAACTGGCCATTTAAAGCATATCTATCCACTCTTCCCCATACAGTATTAAGAGATCACCTGCATCATATCATACACGTTAGCTTGGGACGAACTACTGCTGCTGACCGTACACAAGCAAAATCTTCGCTCTTTAGGGTGTGAGAAGGACTGAAGCTGCTTTTTGTTTATAGCACACTATCATTGCATGAGAGTTGATTAAGTCTACCAGAAATGTGATTCACTGCTTGACCCAATCTGTCTGTGTTAGCCCTGAAGGTTTCACATATGATTAAATTAACAAATTAAATGCACACATCAAATTTCCCCGCAAAGAAAATGGAATAGGGAGGTTAACCTATAAGGGACATCCCCCGACAAAATATCAGCAGGTTCATGATTGTCCTATGTTTGTAAGCTATTCCACATCATGCTCAATCAGAGATGGGGCGAGGACCTCTCCTAGCAAACAAATAAACATAATTGTGTTGACTGAAACATATACATATGAATGGTCAGTCAGTAGACCCAGAGCCAAGGCTAGCCTACCCAGCATAATAAAAAAAAGTGGGTGTAGTAGTCAGCAAGAAATGTAAACCGAATTTTATGAAATGATATATGTATGACATAATATTAGCCTTATTCAAATAATGACACCTTAGATGTACAGTACTCCTAGAAAACTACCCTCTAAGTGTCACAATTGGGCTTGACACTGGTATTATATAGAAATACACATTGGGGGAGAGCAGAGCTGGAGCAACCACTCTCCTGAAACTAGCTAAGAGCTGATTTTAAAGATGGTGGACATCTAGAAATTTTATGGGAGGACTGAAGCCTTGGCATAATGGGTGCTGCTTGTACATTCAACTATAGAAGTCCTTATCTTTTTCACTTGGAAGCATTGTGTGATGGGGAAGATTGGGCAATTAAAATTAACTAAAATGGATTAACCAATTACCCTTCCTGCCATACGAAGGTGTTGCCAAATAATCAAGACACCAGAAAACAAGGAAAGTGCCAGTACAAGATTTAGTTGCAAGTAGAAAACCTTCAAGTCTGCAGTGGGCGACTTAATTACCCTGCTGTCCACTTTTGTTTGCTTTGCCATCTTACAAAACTGTACCACTGAGTTATCATTATATAAACCCCACTCTTGTGTACAATCTTACTGGAAAAAAAAATTCATTCTGCCATTTCTTTAACACAATCCTACAATAAAGCCAAGTTCCCACTAAAAGATACCCTTTTTTTATACACAATCCAACAATAATGCCGAGTTACTATCATATACTGTTCGGGTATTTCCTGTAAACAATCTTACAATACAGCTAGGCTATCAGTAATATATGCCCCATCAGTTCTGTATTATATATGGCACACCCTTACAGTCTTGCTGGTTGGTTATTGTACTTATGAACCTTTCTCATCCACTTACTCAGCACTGGTTTTTCCATATTCCAACAAGGATGTAGTACCTCCACTGGTCATAAAATTTTAGTTATTCTTTCCAAAATACAATACTCACTCTAGGTAAATAGATGACCCCAATCCTACTGCCCTCATCTGTAGGTAATATATTGTCTCTCTTGAGGGTTATTTTTCGACCAGAAGATGCTTCAATCTCGTAAGGCGTTGGCTCCAAGACAGAGCGTGGCACTAGACCACGAGTGGTCCGAACATAGTCACCAACAGTTATAGAGTCTAGTCCTAGTGCTCCTCCACTGCTGATAGCCCCTCTCTGTCTGTTGCTTCTCATTCTTATCACTTCAAGGGGTTCTGCCTCCTGACGTTCCTCTTCTACACCCATATTGACAGAGATATCTTCTGAAACTCTTCTCTCCACTGGGCGAGTATTTTCTGTTGGGATTCTCACAACCTCTGGCCTCTGCACTTCTTGTTCTCCAGTACCATCTGTCCTTCGAACATCTCCAGGAACCTCTTCTCCTTCAGCTTCTCCTTCTGCATCTGGCTGAACACGATTGTGACTCTTGGTTATAGCACAAATCCACGAGTTACCTGGGAAAATCATTAGCATCATCGTTATAAGAACATCTCAAATGGTAAAATGAATCACCAAAATTTTTTACATTTAAATAACTTCTGTTATAATATCAATGTATATCTTTATACACAGATAAAATGACATGCAAATAGTGGTCAGTGACAAATAAGTCTTCTAGTGGAGGCTCATGACAATCCAAATTAAGAAGGGTTTGTAGATACTGCACAGTAATTCATAACCAGAAAATTACATAAATATCTGATACACAGCTAATTACAGTACTTGAATACAAAATCCATATGGCAGCTCTTTTAAGTAACAAAAGGTATGAACCCATTTCTGTGCATGGCAGCACTGTGAAGCAGCTGTAAGATACCACCAAAATGGGCATCTTTATGCAAAATTTAAAGTGTTTTCTTTTAAATTGAAAACCTTCTTCTACTTTGGGATCAAACATGTCATACAACTGCCAGTACAGTGTTGGGGATGCAACGCCAACCCTACAGTACCAGATGAGCCGCCACTGAACTTAAGTCTTTTAAAATTTGAAGTGCTACTTAATTTCATTACTGAATTACGATTATTATTCTGTTTTATTTGGTGAAGTTTCGAATGCCTTCAAATAATGGTAGAAATGAGGCAATTTCATTTTTTACATTTTATGGGATTTCTGTTCATGAAAATTTTGAGGTTACAAATTCCTGAAAATACCTGAATCCTGACAAATTATGATTTATGGAAGTTTTACTGCACGGGTATATATAAATCTACTGTGCAGGTGTTTTAACAAGGAACATTAAAGTATAAATTACCCATGTTAGTCATGTCTGGTAAGGAGTATGGGGGCAGTTCAGTCAGTTCAGGGCTGCCAGGGTTGAGCTGAGTGAGTCCAAGCCTCATGTGTCCTGTCCAACCCTGCTCTGTCTTCTCTATCTCCACCAGGAAGATCTCCCCAGGAGGCAGAGGGCGCTCACATATTGTTACCGCATTTGCAAAACTTGCCTTTCTGTTGAAACAAAACGAGGGATTTGTACACAAATACTTATTATTCTGTCACATGTCGGCCCACACCGCTGTCTAGGATTGGCTATTTAGGTGATGCCCGAGAATGACCAATATCAATGAGGGTGGTTCACGGCCTGTATGCTTATATAAATTCTCTTATGTTTTGATTTACGATGTTTCTTTATATCAGTGTTATTTAGTTTTGGTTGTCAAAACATTATGTAAGAGCCATATTTTGTTTCATAGGGTATAAGGTGTAAAACTTTCGATATATTCTATTAGGATTAGTTGGCAACCGAAACCATATTTGTGTGGTGGTGGTGATGGTCACATCAGAGCAGCGTGAGCCACCGACCGAACCGGACAGTACGGAGAACCAGGAACTCTAGGCCTGGTATACAGTACACATGACGATGTGGGGTACAAGATAGCTGCCGAGTTGTGAGTGAAGTAATTGGAGATATTTGGACATGAAACCTTGCTCTGTGAATGTAAATAGTGTAATATATGTCATTTTTACGTGACGAGTTTCCATAAGCCCTTCCTCTCGGTCTGAAAGTCCTGTGCCAACTAACAATAGCGCCCAGACCCGGGATACAGACTGAGTGAAGGCATTGGAAGTGCAAGGTGAGGACTGAGTAACAGTAGAGAAGGAGACAATATGACTATTAAAGGGAACAAAAGGAGTGACGTGTTTTAAATCGACTAACAATGGATTTCGTAGAATTGATTCAAACTGGTCGAGACTTGGGGTATGATGGAATTGAATTGAAAGAGTTGTGACTCAAAAAAAAAATCAATTCTAAGAGTTATGAGTTAAGGAAAGCAGAACAGGAATTGGAATGCGAGATCAAAATTAAAAAAAAGGAAGCAGTGGAAAGAGAGAAGGATCGAGCTGAAAAGGAGAGAGAACGAAAACATGAACTTGAAGTGCTTCAGCTTTGTCAGGACATCCCCGAACCCAGGCCAACTGTCCTTTATTATTCAAAGCCAGAGTTACCCAAATTTGAGGAACAAGTTGACGACATTGATCCATATATTGAGAGGTACGAAAGGTAGTGTCGCCAACTGAAGCAGTGGATTATGAATCGGTGAAGAAATCTATCTTGGAAAGATACATGCTCACAGAAGAAGGTTATCGTTCAAAGTTTTGTGACGTGGTACCAGACAAAGGAGAAAGTGTTAGTCAGTTTACGTCTCGCATGATTCGATTTCTAGAACGGTGGATAGACTTAACGGGAATTGAAAAGTCTTTTAAAGGACTTAAAGACTTGATTCTCCGTGACCAGTTCCAAAGACGGTGTCACTTAGAGTTGCGACTATTTTTGAAAGACAGAAAACCAACAACAATCAAAGTCACGAAGGAACTGACTGAGACCTACTGTACTTAGAAGCACACGGTGGTCCTATGTGGAAGACTTATTAGCCTAGACATCAAAAGGAGGTAAGAACACCTTACCAAACTACAACTGAAGCAGCTCCAGAGAAGAAGACATCATCAGCTTTTCCGACACTACGAGAAAAGATTTGTTTCCTTTATCATAAGAAGGATCATATAGCAAGGGACTACAGGGTAGCTACGTGAGGACCTCATCAGGATCGTCAGGAGGGTCAAGACATTCAAGGTCGAGCCAAGGAAGAAAGAGCGGCGGCTTGCCTGACACAGTCACCCTGGGATCAGACTGTGATTCTGCCATCTGGTGAGGTGATTATTAGTGTGGGATCGATGGAAAACGACCTGGAGTCTTTTCAGGGGTATGTCAACGTCCATGAAGTAGAGGTACTCCACGACACTGGCTGTACAGGTGTGGTGGTCAAGCGGCGTTACGTTCAAGAACATCAGTTGACAGGAGGCAAAAAGAGATGTGTACTATTAGATAAAACAGTCAGAGTTTATCCGGTAGCCCAAGTTTATGTTGACACGCCTTATTTTTCTGATACTGTGGAAGCTACGTGTATGAGTGATGATGCCATATGTGACTTAATCATTGGGAACATTCCTGGAACTCTACCAGGACCTGTGAAGGTTGCCGAGGCCCTTACACCATTATTGGTAAACACTGGTTCAACCCGGTTTGAGGATAGTTCTCCCACTTCGTCACCAGCAGTGACAGAGAAAGTGCTTCCCAGTCCTTGTGTAGTGCCGGCCACATCGTCATAATTTCAGGAGAAGAATGCGAGTCCTAAACCCGGAGACGTCTCTGCCTCCTGGTTATCTTCTGGTGTGAGTATCGTACATCGCCGGGTGGTTCCATCTATGGAGGCGGTACCAATAGCAAGTGTGGAGCAGTCTGTTTCTGCTTTGTTTGGAGTGGATGAGACTAATGCTTCCAGTTGAGGAACAACACCCACACACTTATCAAGATACACGACCCAGAGCCTGGACTTGTTGAGTAGAAACCAGTCTACAGACTACGTAGAAGAAGAGAGGGCTTCGGTGTCTCTGCTTGTCACCAGAGCAGTTCAGACAAAAGCACAACAGCAAAAGGGGAAAGAGTTTAAACCATTGTGTGTTAGTACAGTAACAAATGAGGTTAGTAACGATTCTGCCATTACAATAGAAGAACAGGAGAGGGATGAATTCCTACAAAGATTAATTAGTAATTCTGTAAATGGGAAAATAAAGATAGTGAAACTTAAGGGATTGTGGTACAGACTTCAGGCTAGCAAATATGGGGAGGAATTTGAGCAACTTTTATTACCCCAAGGACAGACGAGACTATGTACTAACTTTGGCCCACAAAGCTTTGATGGGTGGTCATTTAGGGGTGAAAAGGACTGAGGATAGAGTTCTGAGTTGATTTTACTGGCCAGGAGTTTATAGAGATATTAAAAGATGGTGCTGTAGTTGTGATAGATGTCAGAGGACAATACCTAAAAGGGGAAAAGGGGAAGGGAAAATGCCCTTAATGTCTATCCCTTTTCAGAAAGTTGCAGATCTGGTCAGCCCGATCAGTCCACCCTTTTCCCAGGGGAATAGGTGTATTATGCAACAAGGTGGCCAGAGGCGGTAGCAATTCCCAGGATTGAGACAGAAAGGGTTGCAGAGGCTTTGCTAGGTATATTCAGTCGAGTTGGGTTTCCCCAAGAAATTTTTAGTGATAAGGGCTCACAGTTCGCCTCAAATTTAATGCAAGAGATATGTAGACTCATAAGTATTAAGCAGTCCTTTACCACGCCCTATCATCCTATGTCCAATGGTTTATGTGAAAAGTTTAACGACACTTTAAGTCAACGTTGAAGAACATTTGTCAAGAGCGCCCGTTAGATTGAAACAGATATCTTTCAGCAGTGCTTGTTACTTATAGAGGTACCCCAGGCGAGTACAGGATTTTCACCGTTTGAACTACTCTACGGTAGTACAGTTAAGAGCCCGCTGTGTCTATTGAGAGAGGTCTGATCTGGAGTTGGTAAGGATTCTCAGGTACACAACACCTATCAGTATGACATGGAATTGAGAAACCATTTGGAAGAGACCTGTAAATTAGCTCAGGCAAAATTAAAATCATCAGGCGAGAGGTATAAACATCATTATGACAAGAAAACCCGAAATAGAGAGTTTGACGTAGGAGATAAAGTTCTGATATTGTTACCCACAAGTTCTAATAAGTTGCTTTTGAGTTGGAAGGGTCCATATACAGTCTTAGAGAAAGTAGGGTATCTTGATTATTGGATCATGTTAAATGATGTCAGATCTATGTTTTTGAAACCCAAAATCAAACGTCATCCAGGCAATTAATAAACCCTACCTGTAAATCATTTTTATGGTTGAGTAAATATCAAATCACTGATGCTGTTACTGTATATAGCTAATGTAGTCACAACTGGAGACTTTCTTGTGTCATTATCTTCTTTAAGGCCTGAAAATCCCTGTTTCATATCATTGTAATAGTTTTAGAATGATTTGCACCAACTGATTATCATGTGGACCTAGTCACATGTTGACTAAGCTTTGTGCAAATCTCCAAACCTGTCTCGAGTTATAGTATTTAGGGAAAACAGACACACAGCCAAAATAATCCCTGTGGCCACAACAGCAAGGTAGTAAACTGTTTAGATTTTCTTATAAAACTAATAATACTTAGAACTTTAAACCATAACAGCAATTCTCAACTAAAGGCTGTAATTACAGGAGTAAGGCATTTAGCCCTGATACAAATATGGGGCAGGCAGGCCAATGTCTTTTTTTGTCCGAGGAGTCAGCTAGACTGATGACTGCTACTGCAAATCTAAGTTGTCCAGTGATGACACTGGATGGCAAGCAGGGCTGTGGAGTCGGAGTCGGAGTCGGAGGAAACTTCGGCTTGTGGAGTCGGAGTCGGTAAAATTGTCCAGACTCCGACTCCGACTGAAGCTATTCTGTTCCTAAGAACAAATATATGAACTCAGGCATATTCATTGCAGTGATTCCACTGATCCCACTAATTTTCTTAAATTATTAAAAGAATTTATTTCCATTTTATAAGCATTATTATGAATTTATTGTAGCAGGCACAGTATAGCACTATAATTTTGGACGATAGTCTCTTCTTTACCATTTGAAATTTTGAATTATATCAAATTTTGTTTCGTTGAAAACTGCACAGAGGCTCTCAGCTACAAAACAATTAGCTACAACCTGTTTTTGGTGAGATTAAGGCAAATTTAATTTAATAACTTAATCATGTAAGGTTTATCCATTTTCCTTAATAAGGTATTCATTTCTTTAATGTACATAAATATATAACTTTACTTTAAAAGGAATTGTAGGATCATCATTTAGATCCACATCAGATTATGAGCTTAAACAAAATTCATATGCTGAGATCGAACTTTTAGATATACATGTAAATGGTGTTTTCTAGTTAATATCTTGAATTCTTAATAAATTTATTTTTCTTTTGATTGAAACTTTGAAAGTCAAGCCTATCATCTTTTTGTAGTTCTTAAATATCGTCCGGATCATTAATAAAGCTGTAGCAGTATAGCCACGGTGTTTTACTTTTTACCTACGCAGGTTACAACATACAAATTACAATTAGGATGGTAGAAATAGTTGTTACAAATAGGCCAAGGAGTCGGAGTCGGAAGCATAAAAATTTGAGGAGTCGGAGTCGAAGGTTTTGTCTTCGACTCCACAGCCCTGATGGCAAGGTTGCACATGTACTAATACAGTAGTTCAATTAGTACAGGTAGCAGCAGTAAATTTTGGGGTCTGCCTGCTTTACAACCCTGTCATCTTGAGACATGCAATATACTCAAGTTTCCTTGGAAGTGAAATCCGGTAATAAACAAAATCACAGCAACATACCTGTATGCAACAGTGTTATCGTCGTAGAGAATAACATTGACCCCATGGTTGGGGTGGAAGCATGTTAACTCTGGAAAACTGTCGCTCATCATTGTAACTGCCGTCACAACAAGGCCATCTGTAAATGTGACAACACGTTTAATAATGATTACTCAAATATAACAATAAATTGACATTTAAATGTCACAAGGTAATCTACAGGAATTTAAATAGAGTACTGTACATTATACTTTTCAGTATTAAAAATAACAATTGTCACACGTTAAAATAAAATGACAAGTACTAACCATTTTTTTTATTAATCCATAAATCCCATTTTCTACCCATACCCAAGTGGTTCACATTACAGGTACTACACATGACTGTCAGTGGGTTTACTCTTAAGATCACCTATCCCAGGGGTGGGGAAACTGTGGCCTGCAACCATATTCAAGTTCAGTTTTGTTCTCTCTCTTTAAAGGGGAAACTCAAACTTGATACAATACAAAAAAAATAAAATAAAAATATGAAAATTCTTTAATATTTGTCCAAAACAATATGTGTATGCAAAATAATCACTTCAAAATTTAGCAGGTGATGTAGCAATAGCAAAACCATCACCCTCTCCAAAACTGCATTGAGATGATGTTCCTGGATAGCGGTCATACCCATTAATTAATTCTTCATGGTATTTATTATTAGCACTGAAAATAATTGGTGGCCCTAGAAGAGCCTTCATGATTAGGATCTGGCCCCCAATGTCAAAATTTCCCCACCCCTAACCCATCCCTTCCCAACACAACCATTACTCTCAAATGAGAGAGATAAAAAGCAACAATTGCCATTTGAGGTCAGGTCTAAATTACAACAAAGCTATCCAGTTAATATTTTATACCATAACAAGAGGCCATCATTGTTATTTAAAGGCCATTTTACCATCTTTAGTCCAGATAATTAACTGGTAACCCAAGGGAGGTCTGTACTACAGTACTTTGCTGAGCTTGACTACTAGATTACGGGTGGAAGAGGTGCATTATATAATGTACTAACAATGCTTCATCCTAGGTAGACATAATGGAGTATAATATTGATCCACAGCTCTTTTAAACCATACAGTTCTGTAGTGTTATACTGGAACTTCAGGAAAACTGATGCCTCCAAGACAATGGATGACAGTTGTCATCTAAAGTATAGCCATATTTTATGATCATTCATAATCATGTGAACATAATTGGTAATAGCAGCAGTGAGGTACAATTAATTTCAACCCTGGGCACATTCATGGTACACTATACAGTACAGTGATATTTCTGTTCGCCGGAACAATTGGTGCAGAGCACTTCCGGGAACGAGAGAATTCTGAGTAACAAGACGACTCTCAAAGCCGGAAAAAAATCCCTCATCCCTGGAATTTTCCGGGTAACAGAAAAATGTTCTCGGAAGTTCTAGAAATTGCCCAATACATCATCTCTTGAACCCGAAAAAATATCCCCCATAGAAGCTAACTGTATGAAAACATATCTAGACAGATAAATAACTTTATTACAACTAACCATTGCTCATTATATGTAAACCTGACACAGTATAATATGGCTCTGAATTAACTATAACCTCAGCACAACAAAACAGGGACACTACTATTGGCCATCCTTCCTATCTGTAGTAACACAGACCCTTTCTACAACAGATTACTCCCACTTGCACGTTAGTGATCAGCAGTTGTATAAGCTGTAACATTTCTCTGTTGCCTGCTCTATCAAGTGATGTATGCTCAAAGCCAGCTTTAGAGACACCCCGGTCTCCCACCCCAGCTTGGACCATCTCGAGGCCACTCTACCTCGTGATACATTCAAAGTCCATACATCCTCTAGTTATGGGAGGTGTCTATGGCAACAGCCACATACAACTAGACTTTGTATATGAGGTATATGTACAGGAAGTCTATTTGTTTACATAGCTATTCGGTCCCAGCTGGGCTTAACAAATATTAAACAGAAAGCACTTAACCAACCAGAGAGCACTAAAGTAAAATAGCAGTAATAGGAACTTAGCCGGTCATGGCAAAATATCCACTGCCAACATAATTTTGTCCAACAAGTCGTGGGAAGTCTTAATATGAATAACGACCCTTCTTTTCGTCAGAGATTCTCATGTAATGTATATACTCTACTGAATCTTTACGAAATGTATTGCTCGTGCACTGTGCATCATTGTCATGTTCTTCAGCAAAACTGTCATATAAGTTTAAAATTGGATTGTAATGTACAGTATGTAAACTAAGCAGTTATACAGCTCAGCATGAATATAAACTATGTAGGTATATGGTGCACATCGGCCATGGGAGTACCGTACAGTATAGTTTCATATGTGCTTAGACAGTGCAGATCTTTTCGGTTTGATGATTTTTTTTAATAAAAACACATTAATCTTGCATAATATTACATTCGAATTTCAAAATATCTATAATCTCGGGGCGAAACAGCAAACATACCTTTGAAAAACTTACCTAACCAATAAAAGGTTTAAGATTCACTTTCAAAAACAGCATCACATACTAAACACAGAAAACACAATAATTAGAATGCCAGATTAATGTGTTTTATTAAAAAAAATAAAACTCATCAAACAGAAATGATCCCAACAATGGTAAACATAAGACAATGTGACCAAGGATACCCAACAAAGCTGTCAAGAGGCTTATTTCCAGAAGTCCTTTGCTTAGGCTTAGTCTCTCAATCATTTGTCTTCTATGGTGAAACTACATACAGTACAGTAGGTAATTACGGCGCACAACTAATCTGGACTATTATCGTAAACTGTTAATGATTAAGTCATTATCTTATTTGATAAAATACACCTATAATGCGATACGTGACATACATATCTTTACCTATGTGTGTACAAACTGTGACAAAAGTAATAATGTACACACAAGCTAAGTTATGTTTGTTTTCTGTAATTATCTTTAAAAAAAATTCTCTCATAGCTGTTTGTGAGTCAATAAAACACTCAAATTAAATGAATTTACAAGAGGTGACTGCGACCATACCAGAGTGCTGGATACCCGCCGTGTCTTCCCTGCTAAAACTACTATTTATAAAACACGTGGCTATCAATTTCACCAACCGCTTAAATTAAACTCTTCCACAAACTCCATAAGTTCATTAAATAATCACCTACTATCCCCATATACCTCATGAAAAACGTAAGTTAGTAAATACCTGAGTGTTTGTCCCACTAGCTGCCTGAGAGGTTGGGCGCACCGTGAATGTTGTTTATGTTCTGGCGTCTATAGCTCCACTGTCCCCAGACCCTCACAAACCCTTATCTCCGGGACCTTATACTTCTCAGGCATAAAATCTAATATATTCCAAATTTTCTACATGTTAACCACATATCTATATCCAATATGTAGTATGTATGTATAAAAAAAATCAGGGAAGTTTAGAATATATAGATCCTTCTAAGTCCTCCCGATAGGAAAATTCCTTTATATCTGGTTCTCTTGCTTGTTCGTTATTGTAATTTTTTTAATATATAGGTGAAAATGTTTATAGTTGATATAAATATAGGCAGTATGAGGGCAATCTGTTTTTAGCTGTCCACATGGGGTTTGGGGTTCGGAGTTTGAGGTTTCGTTTTAACTTAACCATTTATTGAGTTGAACCTCTGAGGAGAAGTTGGATTCTTTCTTTAATAGTCTTAATCTTTTCTTCTCGTTCTTCTTATGTTTTGTGTGCCTCAACTGCTTTTGATCTATTTACTCTTCTGCTTCGTTCAAATGCATTTCGTTCTTTAATGTTTTATGCTTATATTTTCTTGATATTTCGCTCCACTTCTTAATCCTATTTCGGTTAGCGGCTGTTTTTACTTATTTTGTTTTATTTCCTATCTCATTTTAAAAACTTTTCAATGTTTTTTTTTATAAATACCACTTACCTAATATTTTATTTTGGTCAAGTTTAGTCTTAAATTTGCCCACACTATCGGATAGGCCCGCAAACTGTCAGTAAAACCCACTGATCAATGCGAATGTGCATAAAACCCGCAAATGATGAATACGCTTCACGTTATCCTCTTCGCCACTGATCGAGTCGGTCAGTTGAGCACAAATTGGGCGATCGGTTAGGTTTCCCGGTCCCCGGTTTCCTGCTGTACTAACACTGGATAGAGTCGATAGACCAACCGTCCGAACGGCTGGTAAGCTGATAAGTAGCCAAAATTACAGGCGTACAAAACAGTGGTTGTCAAACCAGTGCGCGACAGGGTGTTTTTTTTTTGGGGGGTCACGGCACCTGCCAAATCATCTCACAAAACCTGTTACTTTGTTTATTGTAAAAGACAAAAAGGTTCATACATTCAGAGACCCCCTGACCCCTTGTGCTACCAGCTGCTAAAATTAATTCGCGAAATTATGCATGGTGATAAAATAGTCGATCCAATAATATCATTCTCACCTTCAAACTGCAATACTGAATACTTCTGACGGCAAGTGACATCAAATTATCGCTAGTATCACAAATATGAAATATCGGTAGTGACATTTCCATTTTAGCAGGATGAATCAGCAGACTGTATTTGTGAGGTACCAATATGAAGAAAAAGTTTGCAAATATAATTTTCACCTCTAACCCGATTCCAAAAACAACTCGGGGTATAGATACTTTTTAAGGGAGTAAATTATTTTTTGTCGAAAACAAAAAAACTAAATGGTCAAAATACACTCCAGTGTGTACAGAAGAGGATTTCTAGTAGAAGTTTAAAAGAAAAGTGGCGCCAGGTGTAAAACTGTATCTTGAATGTAGTGTTAACTGTTAATAAATATAGACAATTGAGGAGCTCACTTTGGTGCTGCCACTACATTATCTGACAGAGTATTGTTATTATTATTATTATTATTATTTACTCTGCTGAGGTTGTTGGTTGCCCATACTGAAGGTTTAGAGTACCTTTTTAATAGACATACAAATTTGATTTCAGTACAAACACTCCCGCACACAATGAACTTCCACTCACTGTACTATGTAGGCCTATACATGGAGATTTATAAAGAAAAAATGGCATATATTATCATTTTGGTATAGTGTGCACAGTACTTTGATAGCTCTTGGTATAAAAACAATATGACCTGAAAAAATTAGTGAACCTTGGCAGTTGTAGCCTTTAAAGTGAACCCTGGCCATAGTCGGGCTTATTGGGTCAGTTATTGTACGTGAGACTTCATCGCAAACCAGTGATTTGATAATCTCACATAGCTATGTATTACAATTCAGTTATTTTCTGACGCCGTACTCTTTTATTGGAGTCTTCGTGATGTTGGAAAAGGGTGCATATATAATAAAAGTTTGTAAATGTGGCCATGAAAATTAGTTATCCTTGTGTCATCAGCAACCTCGCATGCGTGTATTGTGGATCCTCGTCAAGTCACGTGTAAATAAATGACATACTTTGTGATTTTATAAATGGTAATAGTAATAATAATGATAGTAGTAGCAATAATATTAATACTAAAAAGAATAATAATAATAATAGTAGTGATGTTGGACAACTACCGGTACTACTATAACAGCAAAAGCAACATTAATAATAATAATAATAATAATAATAATAATAATAATAATAATAATAATAATAATAAATCAATAACAGTGACTACAATAATTATATTAATAAAACACGACCCAACAATAATTGCAATTATGTATCAATTAAAATAAACAAAGATGCTAAGCGAGTGACAAACACAGCAATGACCTACTTTACCTCAGGCAGTCACCTATCCAAGGCCCGTCCCTCTCCCCACACCACCATGGCATTGTTTATAATACTTACTTTCACCTCTCGTACTTTCACTTTCCTTCGGAGTTAACTTTTCTCTCTCAGTCTTTCCGTTTTTCCTTTTCTCTCACGCTGTCTCATTATAACATCATCCGGATTCTCAAAAGTTCCTACAATTAATATTTCTCATGGGCGAAGATATGAGAATCCACTGAACTAATCGCTTCGGATAAATCACAAGGGATTACGTAAAGCTTAACACCCTACGTTAAGCTTGATAATAAGAACTTCAAATTCCCCTTCATATATAATAGCCACAGCACGTAAACACATCATTACGGAAATTACCACATGCCTTCATGTTTTATTAATATCGTTCAATGGAAAACAAACGAATATAACAATAATATCAACTTCGCTATGCAATATTTTATGTAACCTTGGCCGTGGGTGAGTGAGGAAGGAAGGATAAGGAAAGTCTGGATAACAGCCATCACGTGTTTCCTCTCCCACAACGTGAGGGTGGGAGGGAATGACACACATCCTCTCCCTCCCTCTAACATGTCAAGGTTAGGTCCCCTATGTGATATCGTGACGTCAGATGGCGGAAAACGGGCCTTGGTATTACCCATATAAAAACTCGGCGTCAGGAACAAATTTTATAATCGCACTAACATACACGCGGTGCTGTCTACTAGTCGTTGTCATTTTAAGCTCCCTTCGTCGTCTGCCGAGTTATAATTTACTTAAACTATTTCAAAGAGTAGGATAACGAAAATAGTATTGATTATTACTTTCTTTATCGCGCCGAGTGACAGAAGAAAACTAATAGTTAACCGGCTCAAAGTCGGTTGAGTGATATTCAGCTATTTGTTTCATTCGATTACCCAGCACCTTTTGTTAACAATGTCAACGTCACATCAGCTGGTGCTCCTGGTGTGCGCGTGTGTCTTGGGACAGGCTGCCAGCATCCTCAACGGTAAGTACACTAAAGAGTTAGTTGACTATTTCAAGAAAGCATCAACCCTCGGGGTGGACGGATCTGATCCCCCCAAGCTGTCGGGAGTTCGTCACCCAATGTTTGAAGCTTTAAGAAGGAAAGTGACAGACACTAGGTTTAAGAATGATAATTCTTAAACTATTGGAGATTTTAGTCGAAACCAGTTTTGTATAAACCAAATAAAAACCTTGTTTGTGCCATATAATAGTCACACTTAAAGTAAATTGGATATCTGATGCGAAGATCATTATCAACGGCACTTTGTTGCATCGTAAACAGTGTTCAGTTCTACAATACATTCATTGGTAATCTACTGTATACTTAGAGTATGTTTCTGCACTTCATGTTCAGAGACCCACTGGGATGATTGTGTTAAAGGGCCTCAATGTTGTCTAATTTTACCTGGTGTCCCTTATGGCTACGCACTAAGAGTCGTCCATACCGAGGGAAGGAGGATAAGATCACCACCATTGTTCTTGATAAATGTTGTCTAGGGATATCATGAAGCCCAGTACTGCTCTCGATAACAGTTCTAGCTGGTAGACTGTTTTATATATCTACCGCCCTCTGCGTGAATAAGTATTACCAATGTTCGTTCTGCATGGTATCTTCAGCTTGAAGTTTGTTTTATATTGATCACCATTATAACGTGCACCTGAAGCACAAAGCCATTCTGGAGATATAATTCAGTCCTTTTATTATGTACTGTGCATTGTAGTATTATAGGATGTAATGTTTAAAGTAAATCTTGTGAGCAAGTCTTAAAGCAAACTTTTAAAGGCAATCATATTTTCCATATCCGCTTCTTGCCCACTTTTGGTTAGTTTTATTTCTGGCTTTGTAGGCAATGAAACTAACAACAAACAATACACCTATATGAATACTGTTTATAATACCTTGAACTAATCAGTACCCAGTTTCGGGATAGTTTCCATTCAGTCTTGGCCGTGTGTTACTAGGCAGCGAGTAACTAGCTTCAGGATTTAGACTATTGCTATATATATAAAAAATCGCCTATATAATTAACATCTTCCCGATTCACAGTTCTCGCTTTTTTACCACATGTCTAAGTTGTAAAGTTTACGATAAAGACTAGAAATTATCAATGGTCTTTATTCTCTCACATACTTTTATACGTTTAGAATCAGACGTTATATTTTCATAGAATACTGGTATTACTAAAAGAATGAAAACCTAATCATATGGTTGTGTGTAAAGACATGTTTCGAGTATTCATCTTATACCTGTGCTGTAACATATTTCAACATTCTATAATTCTAACTTTACATAAAACTGAAATTCTTGATCATTTTATCGGTGAATCAACCATACAAAAATAATTTCCCCCCCAAAAACCATTTAAGTGTCATTGCTTAAATAGACACCGATTTTTCGACTTGCAATTTAAAGAAAAATACATGGAAATAGATTCAATTTATTTTTATTATTTTTTTAATATTCAGTAAAATCAATGTGGTAGGTGACATCATAAACCAGGTATATAATTGAGGAATGAACCTGTGTGATGGTGGGATTTTTGTATCACACAATTGTTTTAAATAAGTTCTGGAACTCTTAAAGTGGCAGGATTGATGTAAACACTTCTGGACTTTCTTTATTGTTGAAGTGTCGAAACCGATATAACTAAGAATAAGCGATCTTCACTACTTATCAATTAAAACCTAATAAAGTGACAAAGGGAAAAAGAATCAATTTTAAATATTATTTGTTCACCGAATTAAATCTAGATAGGAAAGTAAACCTTCTTTGTAAATATTGAACAAGAATATTCATTGATCAAGTCTTTAGGGGTGGGGGAGGGTTATCTGTTTTCGTCTAGTGGCAGTTTGTTCATCCGTCTTATTGATATTTCCTTCATTCCGGACTAGCTACTTGTACTACCAACACTTGAGTTTGTCAAAAACTTGTGTCAAATAATGCCGAGAAAAAACATTCGAGTACTGACTAGGTTTAAGAGTATTTCACTTAAGTGCTGATTAATATTTTCATCTACGTGGTTATTAAGTCTCGTACAATCCCAGCAAAGATTCTATCGGTTGATTTATAAATATTTAACTACATGATAATTGTAGCTCAGTTAAAAAACGCCTTAAAATCTAAATACAATCTTACAACTTTCTAAAAGCACAACTGTTAAAAGTCATCATCCAAGATCATACTTTTTACAGGTCTAGTTTTCTTTTATAATCTCCGTCTTCTGCAGTTTGTTCCTCTCCTTGATCGTCTTTCCACTTTGTACGTGTCCCGTGTTTGCCTTCAGTACCTTCCACCAGGCCGGGAAAGCTGCCACATCTGTAGGAACGTAGAGGATATTTAGGATACTTGTAAGACTGTTCCCGGGATACTAAACTTTACCCAGCTGTGAAGAGGTACCCATCTTTATTATTAGGGAAGTGGTCGAACATCATCAGCCACATTACTTCCTTGTGTACTAAGCGTTAGTTTCCAGTGCCCTGTGTATGTACTGTCCCTAATGGTCCGCAGTTACTAGTTGAGAAATTGTATTATTGTCGCATAGTATTCATCACCGGCTCTTCTAACTGACTTTTGAAAGATAATGATAATTGCATGCCTATTAACTATTACAAAGTGTACTTCTATAAAACAAAAAAAAAACCCCACCCGTCAAGCCAAGGAGGCCTCTTCACCTGTAAGGAGGATAGATAGCGCCCTCCACTGTACAACACACACGGTGACATCCTTACCTGTAAAAGATGCAAGCACTTTCATCTACAGTGTCTTTGGAGATGAAAACGAGGCAGGTGAATGGTACAAGGATTTCGTCGCGCATGGCAGCGAACACTGAGGTCACATTCGGAGGGTAGTCAGCCTCCTCAAGTACAGGTAGGTCTCGCTGAAGACACTCCCCAAGGTATTCTGCGGTAGAGTCGGTATCGTTATCAGCGCGCAGGTTATAGTTACCAGCCTGCACTTGCCCATGTCCTAATATAACATTATTCGTTCTGATTAGTCGGTTGGGGCGGCAGGTCATGTACACCAGAGAACTTCATAAAGACAGTAGCTTACACACCAGAGAGCTTCATAAAGAGTAGACTACACACCAGAGAGCTTTATAAAGATATTTAATTTAAGCCCAAGTGTCACATTGCAGCAGGACACACTTGTGATTATTGGATTGAACGTGAAAGCGCCGTTGTAAAATTCCGAAACTGAAATTAAATATTTCAAGCCATGTACTGTACAGGCATACTGGGTCAATGCATTTCCAAACAAGTTTTATTATCCCTTGTAATTTAATTTGTTAACATTTTATTATTATTGTGTTGGTTAGGTTTGACACAAGGTCTCGGTTTAATATTTCATTTATTTTATAAACCTAGATTAAGAGTTCACAAGAATATAGCACTGTGAACACACATCGCTGTGCACTAGAATGAACAAATTCTATAAAAACTGAAGACTTCCATTTTCCTTTACAGTTAGATACACAGCTTGCCGAAATCTTAAGTCTTATGGGAAAAATCGTACTGAAATACGAATATTACATTGAAATATATCGATAAAATTTTTTAAGGAATATTTGTCGTGCGAACCTTGGATCATCTAGACCCAGCCTAAATAAACATGATTAAGTGGCCTTACCTACGTAAGCCGTCATGTCCAGGTGAAGTGAGTCGTTTGTTAGATGTTCTAGCTCTCCAGTTTTCCGGTTGTAGAAAGCGTATATATCTGCGTGTAACAGCCATGGCACATCATCCGCCACCTCTGAGTCCAATCTAGTAGATTTATTCGCAAATGGGAGTTCATTTCCAGTCTTGACCATCACTTTGTGCAGTGACGCTAAACTAATCTGAAACGGAGATGCATTAATACTGAGTGAATGGAGTGTCCTTCACTACTCCCTGTAAAAATCACTGGTCATTTTATAGGACTAACCCGCTGGCGAAATTGATTGGAAGCAATTATAAAAACCGCCGGATTTTCATGGTTATATTATAATGAACCCTTGTAGTTTGTGGAAATATGTTAAAAAAGGTATATTTTTAAAATAAACACTACTTAACATTTGTGGTTATGAAGAACAGACCTAACCAACCAAACCAAACTTACCTAACGTTACCTAACTTCCTTGGTATATTAAACAGAAAAAACTTGCTATGATAAGGTGAAATCCGAGGCATTTCTGGACGTGAGATGATAAGGCCGCATCGGCGGTATACAGCCCGGCGGGTTAGTCCTATATATTAACCAAATCATCTACAAATGTAACGGAAGAATTAGCCATTTGGATGCATGCTACCACAGTTCAATAACCCTCCCTCAGTCGCGTCAATACAAGACATTAAATTATCGGTAAATTTGTAGTTTCGACCAACCACGACTCGAGTTGAACCATGTTGTTTTCGATGGTTCAGATAATTTTAAGACATTTCTCTTCTATGACGTTTCCATAGCAAATGACTTGAATATACCGGGGGATATATTCAGGAGGTTAGGTTAGGTAATTTTAGTAATTTGCGTGGGAAACGTCAGAGAAATGTCTTAAAATTGTTTAAACCATCGGAAAAACACATGTTCAACTCTAGAACCGTGTTTGGTCGAAGCTACAAATTTACCAAATTATCTTCAAAAAATCACAAACCTACACTATTAAACGGGGATAGGAACAAAGCTTTTTTTTTTTTGGCCGACCGAATAAATTCCAAAAATAACCGTCATGTTTCCATAAAAGTTATGTACGTGTCAACAACAGCGAGGAGTCAAAATGGTGTCAATACTACAGAGAGACTGCATATAATATATACTGTGTATTTAACTTGAGTATTTGGGAATTAATGTTTGGTGGACATGATTACAGGAAATTCTAAGACAAACTTTCGAACAACTCTGAATATGTAACCGAGACCTACACTGTACTGGTAACTCACTCCCGACACCTACACTGTACTGGTAACTCACTCCCGACACCTACACTGTACCGGTAACTCACTCCCGACACCTACACTGTACCGGTAACTCACTCCCGACACCTACACTGTACCGGTAACTCACACCCGACACCTACACTGTACTGGTAACTCACTCCTGACTTCTACACCTTTGGCCCTGACGCCCTTCTTACCAATCACACTCCTTACTCGTGTTTTCCGGATGACTTAAGTTACTCTCTCTGACCCAACCGGATGTAGAAGGAAATGTTGTATTTCTATGGCGATTTAAAACCCTTTTCCAACTTTACAATCACCCTTCCTTAATTTTCTTCTCCGGACTTCATGCATTAAACGAACGTATCAGGAAAAATTATTCGGTCAATATGTAAATAAATAATGCGATGGCGTCCCTCTACACCTTTAATAATTACCCTAATTATCACAGGCCGTAGTAGAACAAACATTAACAGCGCAGTGACGAATATCATTTTAAATAGTGACCCTTCATTCTGTACTCTACGCCACGCAAACATTGCTCCCAAAAGTCAGCAATGTTTCACTATTTGATAATTAATTGATGACGCCGCTGACACGTCAGTCCAACAGCCTTCCCCCAAGAGCTCCAACCAACACACTGAATACCCTGGTCTCCGGGTCGAGTTTTCCCGCCTTGGAACATTTGTTTACGATAGTTAAACGTCTTCATTGTAGCACTGTTGGGTAGTTACTATCTTACGAGGTTATCATGGTCAAATATCACCGAGAAGTGAATGAATTATTGACCTTTGTGCTACGGAGATCTTGTGTGTATCTATTTAGGTTATCGTGTTAGTACTTATTGTCATTACTTTATTCATTTTTAAGATTCCCTTTATCAAGATCAATAAGAACTGTTGAAAAAAGACTTGCTGATTCATAATTATGTTAACAGATACATATAACTGACGCAAGATAACCAATTAGTTAAGAGAAACGCAAACGTAAATGTAAAAAAAAAGAGATAAATTTAAGTGCATTTTAATCAAAACTAGACAGACAAGATTAGAAAAATATTAGATACGAGTATTTTGATTAATAAAAATTGTAAATGAGCTGAAAACAAACTCAAATATTATTGGATGGTGGCTATTAAATACACTTAGGCAAAGTGTTTTAATTAACGAAGACTAAAACCCAGTTAAAGAATAAAAGTGAATTACGATCGAGATGTAAGCGTTAGTAAGCGCCACATGACAGTCCAGTCGACCAATGTAGCCAAGGATCCCCATCCCCCGCCTCGGCCAAGGACCCCTCCTCCCCCCGCCTCGACCAAGGTCACACACACCCAGTCTCGTAACTGGAACAGGAACCTTCAGCTGACCACTGGCCGAGTGTTGGACAAGGACATTGCCGGGTAGAGCCAGTTTCATGGTCAGTGTCATGGTCAACACCGTTTCCCAGCTATCAAGGATAAAGCTGGTATCGCGTGGCATCTCATTCCACGATCACTGTACATTATTGTGTCACATTATCGCGTATACATACTGCAGAATAAACTTATTTCATATCACCAACATCAACATATACGGTTTCATTGTCTTTAATTTCTTTTAATAACAACGGGAAACTAAGTATTTCAAAATATTACCAGTGTTAAAAAAATACGCATTTGAAAAACAATTGTCTTAAAAAGTGTTAAGCGTTTAATATATTCACCAGCAGTGACTCCATCATCTAAGAATTAATGGTTTACAATTCCTGAGTAAACTTTTGTCTCAATGGTGGCTTATGGATAGCTGTTGAATTTTGCACCAGCACCTTACATCTTCCGGGAAAGGCGGAGATACGGTGGCAACGTTTTCTATAATAGGCTATCCGAAGTTAAATCGACTTTCTGTTTAACATTATTTGTATACCTGCATTTTATGTACACGCGTTGAACCAATGTGAACTTGTACAATGATTATATTGAATAGACATGTCTACACATTTTCATCTAGAATTCCTTAAGAAATCTCAATGCCTTTATATCTAGTTGCGCCAATGCTTTATGCCAAGCAAGCGTTGGGCAGACTTACAAGTAACTCCATTAAAAAGTCCTAATGCGAATAGATTAAATCAAATGAAGATCAGGTAAAATATATTAGTCTAATTTACCTTCATGTGTCACAGTTTCCTTCATTTATCTTCTTCACTTGATTACCTATCACTTATACAGTCATTATTACCATCCCTGCTATAAACACTATTATATTTAACATTCCTCTTATTGTTGTCTTATACCTCATGTCCTTACTTAGATTCGCTCTTTCGGCGAAAGACTTTCGCAGACGGAGTACCTCAAGTTGACCCAGCTGTGAATGAGTACATGACTTTGCACACAAAGAGGAGGCTATGATAAAATGTAGTGATGGCCATCATTGTATCCGTGCTAAAAAAGAAAGAAAGAAAGAAAAAAGTTTAGTCTGTAGTGTGTTGCAACCAAACCCACTTTCATATCTCACGAGTAGATATGGTAATTATTAAAGAAACTGTAAAATGTACCCCCTCCTGATGTCATCATTAAGCTTGGGTGAACCGCTGCTTTCATTCCGAGATTTTTTTTCTTGCGTAATAACGAGCGACAGAAAATATTAACAAACATGTGTGTGAAATGGATAGAAAAATAATAACGATAAAAGTGTTCAATACAAATGTGTAGTTAGCTTAATCATTATATATTAGTATTGTTTTGATGACAAGTACTAGTGACGCGTGGCACACATCCCTCTGTTGAGCTCCACCTTCAAGCACTTATCGACCACTCAGTCAGCAGCAACGAGTGACGTTACACACACACACACTTAAGGATTATGAAAGTTATATTCCCTGAAGCTACTTTAACTTTAATGTAGATATTTACAACCATAAGGAACCCGAATAATGTGACTAAAAGTTAATTCCTCAAACACCGACTTGTGCCAGCTTAACATCAGAGAAGACATGTAAAATATGTTTTGAGTCCCGCAAAGTATTATATCAAGTTTGATCAGTACACGTGTGTGTGTCTGTGGTATGTGTGTGCACGTCTATGTGTGAGACGTGACTCGATGCTGTTAACTGAATGGACGATAGGTGTCTGGGGCGGAGTTGAACATAAAAATAGATGACACACCTCACTAGATAACCTCCTCTAAAGAAAATGGGAATCCCGGTAACACTGATCTAAATTGCCGTCTTGTTTAATTCAAATTTCCGTCTACAAGTATATATCCAATTAAAACGAAGAGCCACGACTCCGACGATAATGTATAACTGTTAACATATTCTCTGTGACTAATATTTTCGAACTGAGAATTTATATAACTAACTGCATGATCAACTGGATTTGGCGCCGCCGGGACGTAATGCACTAAAATTAACTAAAACATTGTATTTACGGTGATTAAGGTAAACGGGTTGATGAGCTTTTTTTTTAATAAAAGAATAATCTGAGCTGTCTGTCTGTCTGTCCTTTTAAAAACAACAATGCAAGGTCAACTTATGTTTTGTTTGGAACATTTTCGTGAGGTAAACATAAAACGGTGATACTCGCGGGGAACGTGTGTATGTGTGTGTGTGTTGTGTGTGTTGTGTGTGAGTTGTGTGTGTGTGTGCGTGTGTGTATGTGTGTGTGTGAGTGGGCGGCCTTGGTCGGCGGCGGGGCGGCACGTTTGTCTATGGCCTACGCTGAGCCCGACACACACACACATACCAACAGCGCCACATAAAGCCCCTTTGCTCCTCGTCACTCACCGACCACCATCGCTCCAGTTGTGGGCGCGAGACTAGAAATAATATAATTTATTATTTAGGAATACTGGACCACTTCCGATGCCATAACTAGTCCTGTGACGCCATAAACACATATAAAACTATTTATTTCAAGACCATATAAAGAGATCAGTAATCCTACCCCCATCACACACATGCACTCCTTGGAACGTTTGGGAAGCGTCTGTAAGCGGTACCAACACCCCGTGGTCTAAATTGGGAATAGAACAACAAGAAATAAGAATACTTGATGCTACTGCCAACGCTGAACTATTAGTGCCTGAAGTCCCAGTTCCAATGATAAAATCTTAAAAGCCTCCTTAAGTGGTTAGATGAATATTAGTACTATGGATGACATCTACTGTCCACTAGCGAGCCAGTGTTGCCGAGGAAAAAACCTCTCATCCGTAATCAATCTTTGACACCACTAACATCCTGTGTAAGCTGTGTAAGCTGAGTGTTCCCTACCCAAACTATACATTCGTGAGTGTATGTAGCCAAAGACGGTGTAGGTATACTCTGAACAAAAAGAGTGTATTTACAGAATGTATATAAAGATAGTGCATGTCGGTTTCATCTCGTCGACCACAACACCAAACTCAGCCACATGATTTCCATCCAATTTCAAGACAGGTGGCAAAATAGGATGGCAGTTTTAGCGGTTCGTGGAATTTTGTTTCAGATTTACTTTATGGAATGTGGTCATCAATATATCAACATTCACATCCACGGCGACCGAACTCTCAAACTGTCTCTAAACCGGATCCAGACTGTCCTGTTCGACCAACAACCGGGGAAGGGAGGGAGGGAGGGAGATGTAGAGATCAGCTAAGAACAATAAGAAAGTGATTACTAAAATAAAGGTCAACCATTTCTTATCCAAAATCTAACAGTTTATTTTGATAAACCGATAGACAGGCTAATCAAAGCTTTCCCCTGCTGACTGTATTATGCGGACGGGAGGGGATGGGTGGGCGGGAAGATTGTTGATGGGAAGGAACACTCCACTGCCTTGGTACAGGACGGAAATGAAGCGGGCGGGAAATGTAGAGTTGGCCTTTTTTACAATGTTGCTCGTGGTGGTGGTGGTAGTGGTGGTGGTAGTTGTGGCGGTGGTAGTTGTGGAGAGATAATGTTGATAGTGGTGGTGCTGGTTGTGGATAATGTTGATGGATTAGGTGTGGATAGATAGCGTCTAGTGAGGGTAGTGGTTGATGATGGTGATTATAGTAATGGTGGTGGTTGAGGTTGGTGGTGGTAGTGGTGGTTGAGGTTGGTGGTGGTAGTGGTGGTTGAGGTTGGTGGTGGTAGTGGTAATAGTGGTGATTGAGGTTGGTGGTGGTAGTGATGGTAGTTAGTGGTAGTAATGGTAATGCTAGTAGTGGTAGTGATGGTAGTTAGTAGTGGTAGTACAGTTAGTTCGTGACTGAATTTTCTATTGGTTTAAAAGTGACCCTAAGAATCCCCTTGTGCACCGCACCGTGAGTGATACTGGTAATGTGGATGGATGGGAATATAACATTATTGTATCATATGCACATTTTCCATCCATACTCACTCCTATAGTAACGTACATTGTCTACTAAAAATGTTTAGTGAATTTATATTATCTTTCACCAGCATTTGTATTATGATCTCAAAATACTGCGTCGGATGATTTGTGAAAATATCGATACAAACAATGGCAGGTGAGTGTGTGTGTGTGTCACCCTCCCGCCCCTTATATAATTCCTACGTTATATACATTCCTGTACTTTATAAACCAATCTCCACAAAATAAATACATATATATATATATATATATATATATATATATATATATATGCTGATAACCACAAGGAAAGAAGA